CAAAACCTATTCTAGACAGAAGGCCCCATGTTTAACATGCCCTTCTGTAGATATAAGAAATGTATGGCAGATAATAAACAAACAGTGTGCTAAAAATACACTGAAATCTTGAGCGCTGGAACTAAGCCTAAGTGAAAGAGCTTTATGCTGGGGAAAACACAGTAAGGTGTAGCCCAGCTGAGAAAAAAGAGACATAAAGCTCCCACAAGCTGATAAAATCACAATAGGGCTCTTTCACTGCTGCAAGGTCTTATTTGCTTGTCCAAGCCTATTAGGGGTTATATCTGCAATGCAGCCGCATGCCTAGGGTCAGCTTCCTTGGGTTTCAGGTAAAAATCACTGCTGCTACCCTGCTTCCGCCTCAGTTACTCTCTCAGTTACTGAACATTTTCTTTATCCTCACTAGCTTTTAAATTTGCTCATTTAGTGCCTTGTAATTGGCTTGTATTTCCAAAATATTTTTCTTGCCTGCACATTTTAACCTACTTTACTCCAGGATCCCGGGTGAGATGACCAAAACAAGGGAAGGGTTGCAGAGTGCAGTTTAAATAAGTGCTGCAGAGACAGGAAGCAAAAGAGACAGGAGCTGTGGAGTTTGCCCTGTGCTCTGTGATCCTTCACTTGCAAAGACATTTCTGACAGGTTACCAGAGCACAGCATTTCCATCATGTCTAGGGATTTTCCCAACCAGAAAGAATCTTCACATTTAGGTATTCTGTGCAATAGGACCAAATCACAAGCTGTGCATTCTAACACAACAAAACTTGATATAGGGCAATTGATATCCTCTTGTTTATCTTAGGTCCACGTATAGATATTCCACTAGCACTAAACTCTCCTTAAAACAAGGAAAAATCTTTTTAGGCCTGCTTAACAGAGAACTCTCGACGACCAGATGTCCACCTGAAATCTTATGAAGACCTACAGTCAACCACAACACAAACCTGTGAGTTGTGAATCAGTTTGGTGACTGTCCTTCCTCTCCTTGTGAAGATAGTGGCAGGTAATACTGCCAGTCGTGCCAGGGTTCAAACTCAGCCTGATTTACATTACTCCTCTTTATTTCCCAATACTGTAGCAAGAACTACCCAGCTACCCAGCAACCCCTGCTTACGGCAGAAAGACTGCAGTGATGGCTGTTGACCTTGAGAAAAGAGTGATGTAGCAGCTGTCATTTCTGCTACTGAAAAATAGTAAATAGGGATTTTGGTTTTTACAGGAGCTGTATCTTTTTGACTCTGTAACATCCTTGCTCAGAAGCTATGGCAAGGCATCCTGGTATCACATCATTTATCCTGCAGCTCCATTTTACCCTGGACTTTTTCAGCAAGCCCAACCCTGGCATCATTCCCTCAAGGCTCAGGATGCTACCATCTACTCAGCTGGCACTGTGGACTTTCCACCATACCAAGCAGCAGTAGCCAGAGGAACTCATCTATTGTGGCCCCTTCTTGGTGCCTCATTTACACCCTGCCAGATCCCAGATGAGACCTACCACAACAGGAATTTGCATGACATCTAAAACAGACACAGAACATCTTTACAAATGCTCCTTCTTTGACCAAGATACTGCTCTAATCGTCTCCTGGTTCTGACAGCTTTCTTGACAGAAGTTGAGGCTTTTTTCTTCACTACCTTCTGACTGGGGTGCTCACTCCAGAGACTGGATTTATCCCCACATGTGCCATTCTTGTTTATCCAGTTCTCTTCCTCATGGCTCCCAGTCCAGAAAAACCTAACAGTGCACCAAGAAGAGGTACACAGAATCCTCTGGTTTCCTGCAAAGAATGGTCCACACTGCAGGTAGTCACATCCCACATCAAAACAAACAGCTCCAGAGCAATCATGTTTGCTTTGGGCTAACTGGGCACATGCTCAGAGAGTGGCACCTGGCACAGCTTTGCCTTTTATGCAGGGTAACATGAACATAGTGGATGTCTGGAAGCCAGCTGCTACTTCTGCATGCTATGCTGTGTTTGTACTGCCAAAAATCTCCGTATCCCCTTGGTCCAAACTGAGAGATACTAGAACTGAACTAGGCAGAAATGCATACAGTGCTTGGTATCCCACATCATTCCAATGGCAATGAGCAGCATGCAGCCGGGTCAGAGGAGGCTTCTGTTCCAAGCAGGAGGTTCCTGGTCTTGTTCAGGAGACATTTTGCATGCAGAGCTGTGGCACATTACAGACATAGTTTGAAATCAAACGGGATGATGAGCCGACTTTTCTAGCATAAGCACAGCATCAGTGTTTACGTAAGAAGAACAAAGATGACAAGGAGATGGCAATAATGCCTTTCTTACCAAAGTGAATGAAGTTTTCAAGTGCTAAGCAGATGTGGGAGAACAATAATGAAAAAAAACAAATCCGCGGAAGTCACTGGGTATAAAAAGAAAAGTCATCTATTTATGTAACTGGGATTTATCCTTAGACCTTTGATGAAAGCTTGAAAGATTCAGCACAATAGCTGCTGTCCGCTTCTACACCATTATTCCTTTTGCTTTTAAATTAATAACTGCAAACCTATGCCATGAAGAAATCTGGGATGGCTCTTGGGCTGTTCACATTTTTCAGGAGAGGATTTCAGTGCTTTCTTGATCCCTTAGCATCTGCCAAGGCTTTGTGAGCAGCGAGTGGCAGCCAGCAGCCTGCAGCTCTCTGCGTCACCTCTCGTACACACGGCAGCACCTGGCCCACGGGGAGCCACCACTGCCTGCACCGCTGCTGTGTCCTCTGGGAAGCAGGTGGTGGCACAGCACAGGAGCAGGCCATGGGCAGCCAGCCCGTCTGTGCTGAGGACACGTTCAAAGAAAAACAAGAAGTGACTCCCTCTTTCTCCTTCTTCATAGCCCTACTCTTATTCCATCCGTGTACTTGTACCTTTTATTCTGTGTCACTTTTAACTCTTAAATCCCAACATTTTTGGTGGAAAAAAATAAAAAGTGCTGTCACTTGCACTTTGCTTCTTTCTGCCACAGTAAGCAGCGCTCTAAAGGAAAGATACTGGGAGTAGATGTTGTTACAGGTCATCACCTTTCTTAGTGCACAGGAATTACACAGTGCCTTGGGTGGATGCTGTCAGTAGGAAAAAGCAGGATGCAATACTCAGCACAGTAATACTGTAGTACCTTAGACAAGTGCATATTTCAAAGCAGGTTTTTGTCTAAAAATATCTATACTTTTTCCCCTTGCCTTTTCTGCCATTCATAAGTGATGACTGGGCGACTGGATAGTTTAAAAATAAGATAAAAGGACTGAAAATAGTAGGGAAGAGGAAGGGAAAAAATAGCATGAAAGTTAACATTTGGTAGTATGAGAAAAAGAATTACTACATGCAGAGATTAGCTAAACTATTTTCTTTCAGAGTTTCAAGCCTACTTTCAGACCAACCAAACAGCCTTTTGTATTTCTGTACAACGAAATAGAAGGCAAAACCAAATTTGTGTTTTCTACCAGGAAGTAAGTAAAAAGCTTCCATATGTTTTAATACGTAAGCAGTGAAACTGGACTACAAATAGTTTATTCCTATGGCACGAATAGATACTTTAATAGAGGCTTTTGTTTCCTGGATTCTTGCTTCAGATGCTGATTAAGATTTCCACCCTGCAACCACACCGATGGGGTGTGGGATTTGAACATAAAAGGCCCTTGAGAATAACATCGTTATGGCTTGCTAACCTCTTTCCTCTCCTTCTTCCCCCTCTCCTTGCATTAACAGTGGCCCATGAGACAACTAGCTGCTGCTTTGCCACAGCACACACATACAGGACAATTCTGTAGACACATTCAAGCACTGTTGTAGTGCACAGCAAGTGAAACAACACGGACTTCCCGTGTGACCAAAGGCAAATCACATGCAGAGCTAACTGTAAGGCATGTGAAACTTACACAGATTTCTTAAAAAAGGGTTATTTTTTTCTTCAAAGCCAAATATGAATTAAACATTTTGGGGAAAAAAAAAGTTGCAATATTCTAATGGCCAAAGTATTGGCGGAACTTCCTTCCTTCAGGAACTCTTGGGAAAGCTTCTCCCAAGTTACAGAACAAGCACCAGAACAAGCAGCTCCAAAATAGCTTCACCTCTTATTGTCCCCCTTGGTACTGGCAGTGAGACTTAGATGTGGGTTCCAGTCTGGCAGAGCTTGTAAAAAAAATGGTATTTTGCTGGCATTACGAACGTGTAGACAAAGAAGTGATGGCAACAGAATGGAGGTGTCAGTGTCCCACAGCTGTTTTGCAGTTTCTCCTGGAAATCTGTCCTCAAGGACAAGGGAAAGGAGCAGGGCTGGCAGATCTTTAAGGACTCTTTCCTTAGGCCAAAAGAGCTCTCATCCTCAGGTGAAGGATGCCATGAAAGGAAGGCAAAAGTCTGGTACGGCTAAATTGCAGCTTGCTGGTCAAACTAGAGAGCAGGAAGAAAACACACAAGCAGTGGAACCAGGGACAGGTAACCTGGGAGAAGTATAGTGATGTTGCTAAACTGTATAGGGATGGGGTCAGGAAGATCAAGGCCCAGCAGGAACTGGACTTGACAAGAGATGCAAAGAAGAAAGGCTTCTATAGGTACATCAAACAGAAAAGGAAAGTCCAGAAACCAGACAACCAGAAAAGAAGGCCGTACCCCCCCCAGTGAGCAACACAGACAGGTCAGTAACAACAAAGAGAAGGCTGACATATCAACAACTTCTCTGCCTCAGTCTTCAACAGCAACTGTTCTACGCACAGTCCTCGAGTGGATGGTTAAGAAGGTGGGAACTGGGGGTGCAGTGCACTGTAAGTGAAGATCAGGTTCATGGCCACCTGAGGAACCTGAACATCCATAAGTGTACAGATCTTGATGAGATGCATCCCAGAGTCCTAAAGGAACTGGGTGACATAGTCGTCAAGCCAATCTTGATGGTATTTGAAAAGTTATGGTGACCAGGTGAGATCTCCCCAAAAAAGGCAATAACACGATCATTTTTAAGAAAGTAGAAAAGATGACCCACAGAACTACTTACCTGTCAGCGTCACCCACGTTCCAGCAAAGTGCATGGATCAGATCCTCCTGGAAGCTATAACACAGCAAATGAAAGAGAGGGAGGTGATATGGAATAACCAACACAGCTTCACCAAGAGCAGGTCCTACCTGACCAACATAGTGGCTTTCTATGATGGCATAACTATGTCCCTGTACAAGTGAAGAACCACTGATGTCATCTGTCTGGACTTTAGTTAAGGCCTTTGACATATAACCCAACAACATCCTTCTCTCCCAAATTGGAAAGACGTGGATTTGATGGGTAAACTGTTTGATGGATGAGGAACTGGTTGAGATCATACTCAGAAATGGCTCAAGGTCCAGACAGAGATCAGTGACAAGTGGTGTCCCACAGGGGTTGGTACTGGCACCAGTGCTCTTTAACATCTCTTTAACATCTCAATCTCTTTAACATCAGTGATATGAACAGTGGGATCGAGTGTACTCTCAGCTTGGTACATCCCAGCTTGTGGATGATACCAAGCTCTGTGGTGTGGCTGACATGGCTGAGGGACAGGATTCGACCCAGAGAGACTAAGACAGGCTCCTGCCCAGGTGAATCTCATGAGATTCAACAAATCCAAGTGTGAGTTCTTGCACTTGGGTTGTGGCAACCCATGCTATCAGTTCAAGCTTGGCAATGTAAAGATGGAGCACTGCCCTGCTGAAAAGGTCTTGGGGGTACTGGTGGATGGGAAGCCGGACATGAGCCAGCAATGTGCCCTCACAGCCTGGAAAGCCAACTGTATCCTAGGCTTCCTCAAAAGAGGCATGGCCAGCAGATCAAGGGAGGCGATCCTGCCCCTCTGCTCTGTGCTGGTGAAACCTCACATGGAGTACTGTATCTGGATGTGGAGTTCTCAGTACAGGAGAGACATAGACCTGTTGGAATGCATCCAGACGAGGGGTCACAAAAATGCTCCAAGGGACAGAACACCTTTATGAGATCAAGCTGAGAGAGCTGGGGCTGTTCAGTCTTGAGAAGGTTCTGAGGTGATCTGATAACGACCTCTCACAATCTAAAGGAGGGGCTGTCATGATAGGACAAGGGGAAATCGTTTAAAAGAGAGGAGATTTAGATTGAGCATAAATAATAAGTCTTTTACAATAAGGTTGGTAAGACACTGGAACAGGATGCTCAGAGAGATGGTGGATGCCCCATCCTCGGAAACATCCAAGGTCAGGCTGGACAGGGCTCTGAGCAACCCGATTTAGCTGTAGGCGTCCCTGTTCATTGAATAGGAGTTGGACTAAAGAGCCTTTAAAGGTCCCTTCCAACTCAAGTAATTCTACGATTCTACGATAAGTTCTAAATTACCTTGAGGTCTGAACAGAAATTTTCAGTTTCTTAGCATCCAAAGGTCTAACTTAAAAAATAACACCAGCTTCAGTAAAGGCTGGGGGGATAGAGCCCCATCTAGCTTAGAGAGTAGGACAGGGAGCTATTTCTCCATGTCTCCAAAGGAAGAGATGCACCAAAAGCACACGCTGAGTTTGTGGTAAAAGTGGCAGGCATCAAACTTATCTAAAGGGTACAGCAGCAAACTAATAATGCTTGTTTTGTATTCAGTTACATTCTGAGTAGGTTAATCAGAAAAGTAATCTGGAAAAAATGAAAAATCTCTTTATTTGTTAAGAGAAGCAGCCCTTAAAAAGCAAGCTGTGTGAGCTCAGATCAGCATATGCTCCTTCACTAGCTGCATTGATATCTACCAGCAGAAAGGATTTTTATGCCCTGAGTCTGTGCCATGCTCCCTCTCAGATACTCTGCTAATCAAAAGAAAATAAAATCCTATTGACGATTATCACCTGCATGTCTTAGCCATTGCTCAAGGCGCATATTAAGTCCCTACAGACATTCCCACAGGTGCGTTACACGTCTCTAACGTGCTGAGCAGCACTATACAGAAAAATATTTTCATAATATTCTTCAGTTTCAAAAATCCCATGTTTCTTGATAATGTTTAAGGTCAATCAAGAACCATTTGCTTCACTTTTATTTGTAAATGTCTATTTGTATTACCACCACACAAGGTGTTTCTGCTGATACAGGCTTCCACAACACAGAGGCCTGCATATGATCTACTGTCTGAGTCATAGAATCACCAAGCTTGGAAAAGACCTCCCAGATTGTCCAGTTCAACCATCCACCTACCACCAATATTTCACCCACTAAACCATATTCTTTAGTACCACTCGACAAGCGTTTCTTGAACACTTCCAGGGACAGTAACGTAACCATCACCTTGTTCAGCCCATTCCAGGTCCTGGCCACTCTTTTAGAGAAGAAATTTTTCCTAATATCTAACCTGAACCTTCCCTGGCACAACTTGAGACTATTCCTTCTAGTTTAATGGGAGAAGAAGCTGATCCCCCACCTCACCACAACCTCCTTTCAGTACCTGTAGATAGCAATAACGTCTCCCCTGAGCCCCTTCTTTTCCAGAATCTCTCAGCCAGCCTCTCTCAATCCCAGTTCCCTCAGGTGCTCCTCATAAGGCCTGTGCTCCAGACCCCTCACCAGTTTCACTGCCCTTCTCTGGACATGCTCCCTGGCTTTCTTGTAGTGAGGAGACCATAACTGAACACAGTACTCGAGGTGCAGCCTCACCAGTGCTGAGCACAGAGGTATGATCACTTCCCTGCTTCTGCTGGCAGCACTATTTCTGATACAACCCAGGATGCCATAGGCCTTCTTCGCCACCTGGGCACACTGCTGGCTCACGCTTAGCTGAGCACCAACCAACCCAGGTCCTTTTCTTCTGCACAGTCATCCAGTCACTCTACCCCAAGCCTGTAGTGTTGCCTGGGGTTGTTACGGGCAAAGCACAGGATCCAGCACCTGGACTTATTGAACTCCAGCACCCATCCTTAGTGCCCACAATGCGAGTTTCACTGAGGAGCATTAGATAGGACTACTAAGTCCTGTGCAAGCAGGTTGCTACTTTTTTCCCCTCATTTTTAAATCTCTGAAGTAAAAACTTTCATTTCTTTATCCAGAGGCTGCTTTGTGATAAATTGTCAACATCACATGCACCCTTTGTGCATTCAAAGATCAAGAAGACTGCACAATCATGGGGCTGCCTGCAAAGAGTTCACTGATGGTATGAGGCATTTCTGAGCAGTTCATTATGAATCACTAAGCAAATGTTGTGAATGTTCACTTGAGTGAGATTCCTCTTAGAATATTTACACCCATTCACCATTCTCATCACTCCAAAGGCTGTTTAACATACCATACGTTCAGCTCCACAGGCCTGTTTGTTCTGGTAGACATAAAACAAGGTTTATGTGGTGTTAACAGTACATCCTGAATAAACATATTGAAATTACAAGAGCCTGAACTCATCCAGAGTAATGGAAAAAAAAAAGAAAAAAAGAAAAAAAAAAAAGGTGATACTCAGGTGCCCCAAGGAAACTGCCCTAGGACATCTTCATAAGAAATAGACATGTTGTTTTTATTTGATTGGCAGAATCAAAATTAAATGAAGCCAGCGAGGACACATGTATTTCAGAACTTACTTCCCAGCTGCACTGCTATTAGAAGACTAGATTGGCTCCTTAGGAATACTGCATTTTGATGTGGCTGTATTTTGGCTTAGCCATTCATCTCTGAAATAGGTGCAAGGCTACTCACAGAGAGGCTAAGCAGAAGATAAGTGTAAGGATCTTTTCACTCCAAAGCACAGCTGAATATCCCTGGTGGCATTATAAGTAGGTTCATGTATATCCTGAGTTAGAAGGGACCCACAGAGATCATCAAGTTAAACTGGCTGCATGCAGGACCACTTCCAAAATCAACCCTATGTCTAAGAGCACTGTCTAAACACTTCTTGAACTCCAGCAGGCCTGGTGCTGTGGCCACTTCCCGCATACTTTAAGACGACACATCCAAACAGATCCTAAAGACTATCTGAATCCTATTCCACCTCTGATACCAATGAATCAAAATGCTCAGCCACATACCTCATGGAAACTTACCTGAATTCTATGGAGTTAGAATTTTTAGATTAAATTTACAAATTACCAGATTGCCAGAAAGCTCCCAAAGAATCCAATGCATATTTGTCTCTGTCTGAAGAGATGAGAAAGCAAAGGATGATCTGTGAAAATCACTGTTATTGTTCTCTACGATAGTTATGACCCAACTGCTTGCTTGCAACTATACAACTCTGGACAGTGTGCCTACGTATCCTCAAATAAAAATTCTCTGGAGAAACACCACTTACATCAATGTTGCAACCTACCAAATGTGCTAGAGTCATAACCCAACTCAAAAGCAGCACTATATGACACAAGTACACTGCTGAATCTGTGTACAGTCTTCACATACAAGTTATGTTTATTTTTCTATGTTCGCTTAAGAACTGAAGATTAACACAAATGAAAAGTCCTGTCTGTGATGTGGGCCAAAGCAGATTTTAATTGGACAGCACACCTTTTCTGCCCTGCCCAGGCAATCTGAAGAAGTTTCAACATTTGCTTAAACAAATTTTCACATGAAAATTCTCATTTAAAGGTTCCCAGTTTATGTTTGCTGATTTCAGGTTAATAAAGAGAACGGCATCTGGATAAAACATAATAGAGCACTTTGTAAAGTAAAGCTCCTAATCTGATTTAACAGCTTCATTTCCAACTCCACGGATGTGTTTCCAGTCAGTGGCCTTGCTGAGAAGTGTGCCCCCCTAAGTATCTTGAGATATGTTTGTTGTCATAGAATCATAGAATCACCAAGGTTGGAAAAGACCTAAAAGATCACCCAGTCCAACCGTTCACCTATTCCCAATAGCTCCCACTAAACCATGTCCCTCAACACAACATCCAGTCTTTCCTTGAACACCCCCAGGGTCGGTGACTCCACCACCTCCCTGGGCAGTCCGTTCCAGTGCCTGACCACCCTTTCTGAAAAGTAATACTTCCTCATGTCATAAATGTGTTAATAGCACTGATGCAAAGAGCCCAGTAGCACTCTGATAACAACGTGACCCATGAAAT